TTTGACGTATTTTTAACGTCAAAAACGACATTCTTATTTCATTATCTTTTTTACCAACGTTAAAATTGAGTTGTTATGTGCCATGCGTGATACACGTTCAGGCGATCAATATATGACTGACGAAGCAGATATTTTTCTCGCAAAAGTTTGACATTTCTTTCTACGGTAGACGAGTTACCATCCAACTCTATAGAACCTGGTCTGACCTGTTATTTACCCATAGCTTGTTTCAAGTTAATTGGTGAAGAAGAGGCTTTCGGACTTTCCCAAAGGTATTAGCTCGTAAGTGAATGTAATGGATGCGACTGGAATTCAAACAAAAACTCCATTCCTCTGTTTCGAGCCGCTATCCATTACTCCACCGTTATTATTTATTATTCAGCGTTTTCGGCCATTGTACGCTCTGGCATTCTTCAGTTGATTGGATCTCTGAGATGAGATGAGAAGAATGCCGGAGCTAAACGATCTGAAACGTACAAATATGGCAACGATGATGAGGATAACAGTCCGAATAATGTAAATAATGCAAGTAATCATAATACCTCATCTCAGAGATATAGACAGATATTGAAGAATTGATACGGACCCGATATACAAAAAAATATGGAGACAACTAGAAAAGTCTTTTCTTTTAGAAGAAGTCAACGTTGTGAATATGGCAATGAAGATGAGGATAACAGGCCGAATAATGTAAATAATGTAAGTAATCATAATACCTCATCTCAGAGATATAGACAGATATTGAAGAATCGATACGGACCCGATATACCAAAAATATTTAAAACAATTAGAAAAGTCTCAGTAGAAGCTACGTTGTGAATATGGCAATGAAGATGAGGATAACAGCCCGAATAATGTAAATAATGCAAGTAATAATAATACCTCATCTCAGAGATATAGACAGATAAGAAATTATATATTAGTATAGTATTTGACACTGCTGGACGTAAAGCATCTTCTACGTTTTTCAATTTTTTAAAAAATAGAATAAATGAACAATGGTCTTGTCAGGATATCGCTGTTCTGGTTAGGAATATTTTTTTATCATTATTCTCTGTTAATATGTTTTTATTAAAATAATTTTACCCCAAGCAAGTTGGGATTGCCACTAGTTCGCTGTGTGGGGGTACAGGGAGTGAAATTGAGAGAGAAGGCAGAGTATAGGAATGATTGAGGAAAGGACACAGAATATTAAGTTCGTTATTCTCTGTTTTCCACTTGTTCTCAAAAAGCCCTGGGAGTGTTGAATTATCCAAGCCTTCTTTTCTCATTACTTGCCCTAGAAAACTAAGCACCTTCTTTCCGGTGCTAGGCATTCGGTGTCTATTTCGTTTCCATTTTCTCTAAAACTATTTTCAGTTATAAACATTCTCAGCATCCTTCTGTAGAACCCCATTTCTGTTGTCTCAAGTCTCATCATTCCCTGCCACGGAGTAGTCTAGTACGATACTTTTTTTTTAGTTTTCTTTCGTTTCTGGGATCACTTCACCCCAAGTAAGGCGGGCGTGTCACTAGTTCGCAGTGGGTTAAAGATAGTGAAAATGAGAGAGAAAACTGACTATGGGGAAACAAAATATGAACGGGTTTCAAGAAGATAGCAGATGGCGGTTAACGTTGAATTTCAATTTTTGAAGATTGTTGTTACCAGGAAAGTAAGTAAACGGAAGGGAGTTTCACTGTCGGGAAGAGCGATAAAAGAAACTGTTGGAGTAGAAGTGAGGCATACATTTGACGATCTCAACAGAAAACGGGTGGGACCTAAATGCCAATCAAGTAACACGCTTAAATTCATGTAGTCGGTGCACAAGAGAAAAAAAAAGCTCATCAGTTGCCATGAAAATATTTGCAGAAAAGACAATCAGGGAAAACACATCACGTCGGTGAGAAGGCGTCTGAAGTCGAGATGCCAGGTCAGGATAGATTACATTGCAGATCCTTCTTTGTATTTTGCCAAGAACCTCGAGATAAAATAGCAGGAACACCAGACCAGGCATAGTATAAGTATGCAATGCACATTTTAATGCTAGATTTCTAAATGTGCAAGATGGAATCTAATGAGAAAAATCTGGAACAAAACAATAATCTGGTGCACCAAGGATTTTGTTTCTTTATCAGACCCAAAACTCCATCCATATGGTATCTCGTCTACAGTCACTCTCTCACAGACGCGCCGTCGCCTCCCTCTGTCTGTTCTACAAATACTTTCATGGCATTTGCTCCGAGGAGCTGCATTCGCTGGTTCCCAGACGTCATGAGTTCAAGCGCCCTGCGAGGCTGGCATCCCACTCTCACCCCTTCACTGTCGAAACTCCTAAATGTAGACGTCTCTTCTATTTAATAGCTTCATGTCTCGCACCTCTCACCTGTGGAACTCCCTTCCCTATAATCTTTCCCTGAGCGCTATAATCTCCAACTATTCAAATGTAATGTCAATCGACATCTCAGTTGCCTTGATCTATCCACTACCTTCTCCTCATCCTTTCCTCTATCACTCCTATCT